AATCGATCAATTATACGGTCCAACAGATGTGATTGTTGATGAACAAAATCATTCCATCATCGTTGCTGATCGTGGGAACAGACGGGTGATTCAATGGTTGAATCAGAATCAGCAAATTCTCATTCAGAATATTACCTGTTATGCTTTGGCAACGGATAAACACGGATTTCTTTATGTTTCTGATTGGTGGAAGAATGAAGTGAGAAGATGGAAAATTGGAGAATATGACAATGAAGGAATTGTAGTGGCAGGTGGAAAAGGGTACGGAGATCAACTTAACCAACTCCGTTGCCCTACTTATATCTTTGTTGATGAAGAACAATCAGTTTATGTGTCAGATCAAAACAATCATCGCGTGATGAAATGGAGAAAAGACGCAGAAGAAGGAAGAATTGTGGCTGGAGGAAATGGTACAGGAATAAATCTGAATCAGTTGTATTCTCCTGAAGGAGTAATTGTTGATGATTTAGGTCAAATTTATGTAGCAGATCGTGAGAATCATAGAATAATGCGTTGGTATGAAGGAAAAGAAGAAGGTGAAATTGTTGTTGGTGGAAATGGTAAAGGAAATCAATCAAATCAATTGAATTATCCTCGTGGTTTATCTTTCGATGACGAAGAAAATCTTTATGTTTCTGATGATTATAATCATCGAATTCAAAAATTTGAAATAATTTTGTGAACAGAATTTTGATTTTGAAATAAAGAAAAGAAGTTTTTTATTGAATAAAAGAACGAAGAAAAGTCTTTTTGTTTTTTTCTTGAAAATTTAAATTAATTTCATAATTTTGATTAAAAATTTTCAACAAATATAAACGTAGATTATTTATCTTTTCTTGACTTTTGTGGAAGATAAGAAAAGAAGGTATTTTGTACTTTGAATTAGATTAAATCGAAATTATTTGAAAAGGTTTTGTGCTTGGCAAAATTCTACTAGAATTTTTTTGATTTGCTGGAAATAACTAAATGTTTTTAGCTTTTTCATTTGATAAAATTCGAGAATTATTCCGAAATTGAAGTAAAACGAATATTGAAATCGAATTTAAAATGAATTCTGTTGAACAAAACAAATAATAAAAAGAATTTTATTTAGATAAAAACAAAAAGAAAAAATTTCAGAGGGAAAACGAAGCTAGAAATCCAGATAAAATGAAACTTTTGAGATGATACAAAATTCAAATTTGATTTCTCTTCATAAAATGTAGAAAAGATTTGTTATATTTTTTATAGAAATTGAAATAAATATTTAATAATTGTTTTATCATATTTAATTCAACTCCTTCAAATCAATGAAGTTTTTTCGTGAAAAGATTTTTGTTTTGTTCTTGTTTTTTCATTGAAATTTAATGAAAATAAAAAGCATTTAAAGATATTTTTATTGCTTAATCTATATTGACAATTCAAAGTTAAATTTTATAAGAAAAACTATATGATTAGCATAATTAAAGAAATAATTTGAATATTTTTTTATAGATAATAAAAAACATTTCGTATGAGATTAAAAATAGTTAAATTTGATAAAGATGATGAAATCAATTTCGAAATCTTATTTTAAAATATTATCAGATTCGTTTGTCAATAGTACGCTCAGAAGTGGGAAAATGTGAAAATATATTTTAGTTGAATTATTATTAAATTGAAATATTTCTATGAAAAAATTAAAATAAAATTATTTTCGATGATTATTTATTAATATAAATTTAACTGAAAATAATTTATTTTTTATTTTAGCAGAGATTCATGAATAGATAAATATTATTTATTATTTTGCATAATTCTAAACATTGATAGTCATTTAAATAAAAATATCTAAAAGTTGAATTTGCCTCAATGATTATTTAATCTCATTGTTTAGAGATAAAAAAAGGTTATTAAATTGATTAATTAGACAATTTTTATAAACATTATTATACTTTTATTCATTAATATTTTAAATTATTTCATATGAATTATTATTTATTATATATTTGAAGATTTAACAAAAATAAATTCAATTATTTGTTTATATAAGATAAAAAACAATAGATAAATTAATAAATATTAAAGTATATATAGGACATTGCAATAGTTTTTATCACCTGGTTCTTCTTAAAAGCCTCAGTTTGAGCTCAAGTATTCTGTTATAATTCTTAAACATATTTAAAAATATGTTCAAAGTTTGAGATTTCTACGTCTTATACTAGTTTCACCATAGTTCCTATAATGTAATACATAACAGATAAAAAAATTAACATTTTACATGTTTGTTTTCAATCGTTTAATATCTTGCATTTGAAAAACAAAACATTCCATTAAAGATGCACCATGTAAAGCTCGACAATTTATATAAGATCGTGTTTTTTTATAGTTACATATTTTGCTTTGTAAATAGAGACAAGTTTCATCGATCAAACTTCGACAATAAAAATTTCTGATTGCATCTTTATATCAACTGCATACAGTTTTAGTAGCTATTCGGTACGTTTTATTTTTATATATTACATGAAAAAGAGATGAAATAAGAAAGAACATTGTTTTTATATGGTCGAACTATTACAGCTTAAAACTTTGCTTATTTTTAAAGCAAACATATGTAACTATAGAAAAAAGCTCTCCTATGTAAATTGTAGAGCTTTTTCTGATGCATCTCACAATATGTTTTGCTTTTCGTAATACGGTATATTACGGAGTTGAAAACTAAAAGACAAAACGTAGCTATTTGATATTCTGCTATGATATAAAAAAATTATAGATCACAACAAAATACAAGATTTAGAAGTGTAAAACTTTGCACATATATTCCTAAATATATTTGAACATTATAACAGAATATCTGAACTTAAACTGAGCCTTTTAGAAGTAGCAAGCCAAAAAATTTTTATATTATCTCATGTATATTCATTCTTATTTGATCTATTTATCGAGAAGATTGTATTTAAAAGAATATGATGAAGAATCGATTTCTTTATCCATTGTTTTTATTAAAAAGCATTTAAGAGAAATTCATTAACGAAGAAAATTCCTAGTTGATTAATTTTATTTGTTATTTTAATTAAAAAAATATTTATTCGATATTATACAATATGAAATAATATTTTCATAAATAAAACATTAATTAAACAATTATTGATTTGTCTTTCAGATAAAAATAACTTCAAATAGATTTCAAAAACTTTTTTCAAGAGAAAAAATGAAATTTTTCTTTGTATATCTATGCTGAGATATTCGATTTTAAATAACACTTTTGCTTTTATAATTAAATCTGATCATATCTTATACAAATTTATTTCGATGCAGTTTTTCTTTTTCAATCAAATCATTAGATTTATCAATATTTTTATTTTCAAAAGATTTTCTTTTCTTGAAAAATTTGTTTTTAATTAAAATTATTTTCAACTTTGGAAAATATTATTTTTTATTGTTCAACGTTATTTCGTTATGAAACACTTAAAAGACATTTGATCATAAATAAAACTTGTTTTTCTGTTATCTTTCTTCTCCTCTTCATTTGAAATGTTTTATTATATTTCAAAACCCACAAAACAGTCAGAAGAATTTATCTGATGAAAAACAAATTCAAAGTGAGACATACGAAATACTTATTTATATCGAAACAATGACAAAACATTATAATTTTAGAAATTCAATTCTTTGAAATAATATGAGCACAGAGTAATAAAGAATATCAGACAATAGCTATTTTAAGAATGAGAGTGATGAAAGAGAACATAATGATGCAGCCAGATGGATGAGAGATCGATATATCATTCATCCGAAGGAGTAAAGTTTGTAGGCACAAATCCTACTTACATTTAAATCTACATTAAAACATTCTCTCATTGAAAAGACAGATCACATAAGTCGTTTGGATTTTTATTTAGAATTAAAAACGAATCAATTTTCAATTTTAGTTCAACTATCTTAGATATTACATCAGTTTCATCAGTAAGATCTTGTCACAATCAGGAGTTGTTGTCACAATAAAATTCTTTTTCAGTTTCTTCTACTACCGAGCAATGTTTTTATTATCATTGAGTCATTATGTTTATATCTAAAAAATAGATAAGGAGATATTCATTTCTTCTATACACTCCTATGCAAAGACACGACAATGGTAAATAACAAAGCACAATGTTTTATATGTAATAAAAAAAAATTGCATTTCATTGTAAAATATGATCAAAAGAATTTTGTTCAATGCATTTATTAGAGCAGCAACAAATATATTCCACAAAATTCACATTCGTTTATTAATGAAATTTAAATTATTTTATCAATAAGTAAGTTTTTAACAAATTATTTCTAAAAGAATATTTTTCATTTTAGTCGTGGATGTTCCTATGGATGTGGATGTGAGACGATCACATGTCTACACTCACACCCACACCTTATGAGAATTTCTAATTTCGGATTCCATCAATAACCGAGAGAATCCTGTCGGTTTCGTCTGGGATCGTGTTGGATCTGAGTATCGGATTTGTTGACCTGGGTGAATTATTCGTGGGGATGGGAAGACGTAACGGATGAATATCGATTTGATATTCATCGTCATACATTTTTTTCCACAACTGTGATTATATCGGTATTATACTAAAACAAATTCTGTATTCAAGTTAGGTAACCGTCCGAATCAGTTGTTTATCGAAAGTAACTAATAAAAAATAAAACATACCAAAATTTTAGTGATGTGTTTTTTCACACTTCGTCAAAGATGTTATATGTTAAACGTGTCTGTTGTTGTTTATCGAATGTTTTATTTATTCTTTTTTCTCCGCTTTGATAGCAAATTACGTCCTACCATTGACTTATCTTTATTCTTAAGGTTAGTTGTGGGTATCTCTTGTTTACTGACACCCCACCCCTTTCCATTACTATATAGTATAGAATATGTCGAATTGAATTAACAATGCTCTTTTGTTTTCATGTTTGAATCAATAACGTTTTCTTGTTAACCTTATAAATCTTTTTTGATTAACTTTCAGATACGTATCTGTCGTTTATAATTGATATTTAAATTAGTCGTTTATGCTCGCTATGGCAACAGGTGGTGATGATGAATATTTTGCTCAACGTGTTCTACGCTTAACTGACATTCCAAAAGAACCTATGGATTTTCTTATGCCTATCAGTGGTTACGAAGAAATGCCCATTGTTTCACTTGAAGAAGCAGTTGAAACGCTCGTTCCTATACTACCAGCAGTGAAAAGTTTTGCACGTGCGGCCAAAAAGCAATGCAAGAAGCCGGCTGATAATTTGACACAAGATGAATCAGCTTCGATCATGCTCTATTCAATGGGATGGGAACCATTGGATAAATGTCTTTATTGCGCTTTGAATGCTACTCTACGATCGAAAAATCGATCAAATCTTAAGCCATGGTTTCTCTTTCTTCGTCTTTTTCTTGGAGCATTATTTCGCCTTCCACCAATTCCTCACCTAACGGTGTTTCGAGGCGTCAAATTAGATTTAAGCAAACAATTTGAAGAAGACGAAACATTCATATGGTGGGGCTTTTCTTCTTGTACAACTTCCATCAAAGTTCTTCAATCAGAACAATTCTTAGGCATGGAAGGTACAAGAACAATGTTTACTATTCATTGTAATTCAGCTAGAGATATTCGAAAACACTCGTATTATCCATGAAGATGAAGTACTATTGCTTGCTGCTACTGAGTTTCAAGTGAAAGGTATTCTCGATCAAGGTCACGGTCTTCGAACTATTCAATTGCAAGAAGTTCAGTCTGATGAACCAATGCTCATCCCAGTGCCAAGTACAAATGACTCTGTTGATTTATCTGCCGGAAAACTGAAAGATTTGAAAGTGAAAGATGATATCACTGAATCAAAGATCATATCAAAACAAACAGCTACAACATCATCAGCGTCAATCCCAAAACCAAAAGTCAGTGCATCTGGTAATATTGTTTCACAGTGTGGTATGTTAACAAATAGAATACGTTGCGAGTGTTGAGTAAAGATCAACTAAGTGGCTAGGACTCATCCTTTCAAGATCTAGCATTATAATACAATATTTTTTTATCGTGATCATATTATCTTCTTTTTGTTTTTCTTTGGTAGTATCATCAACTGTAGCGCTCTTTCAATTAAACATACATATGAAAACTCGGAAGCTAAATTAAGATAGCTGATCTCACTGTATTCTGAAAATGACATCTCGACATTTAAAAGAGCTAATTCTGACTAAAATACCTGAATATCATAAGTAAACTTTATTTTAAAGCAAAAATAATTGAAAATGACTTCTATATATAAACACACCATTGGAACGCTATTTTGTCTAGACAAATAAAAAGGATTTTAATGATTTCGATAGAGTTCATCTTAAGGATGAGGGTGTGGGTGTTCTTCTCTGTCATTACCAAACCCAAAACCTCAAGATGACAATCATAAATTGTAGTGATCATGATTAAAAAAAAAGATGATCTCAACAATCTCTAGGAGTCAATGCATGAGAAGGACAACTGATTTCCCAGTATGGGTGCTTAATGGTGGTAACGAATCTAGATGGGCGTATGGCCATGTTGTAGAGAAATTTTGTTTTGGTCATAAACCTAAATTTTTAGCTTTGTCACACGTTGCCTCGTGGAAATACGCACATTCCGCCAGCGAATTTTTCGCCAAGCAAGTACTTAGAATGCAAACAGTAAACTGTGTGATTGTATGCAAATTTATCGCCTCTTCACCGCCAGTTTTATTCGTTGACAAGTGAGAGAATGCGACTCACTTAGAATTTTGGATTTATTTCTCAAAAACTCATCTGCATTCTCAACAACGCTTAGAATAATTGACACAAGCCATTATAGGAAACTGACGAGTGACAGCGTTTTTTCAAGATCCCAAAATTCTTTTGCCGGTTTTATATAGGCTTTGGTGAAAGATCTTTGGAGAAAAAATTTTGCCAAATTCGCTCAAGCTGATTTGTGAAAAGCCTATCCTCAAATTTTGTAGAGAAAATGACGGGAATACGGATATATATATATAGGCTTTTTCCAAACCAGCTCGATAGAAATCGCTCAAACTTTTTCTCAAAGACGATTCACGTAGGGCTAGCGAAAGATAATAGCAAAAGTTTTGGATCTCTCATTGAGCAGGATCGGTCGTCGCTCTCGTGCAGTGGCTCCCATATAAGATTGAACAATGTTTTCTGTTAATTTCTATTGAAGAAATTATATAATCATCAAATAAAATTATTTGAATTGAAACAAGCTAAAAAATGAAAAGAGCAAAGAAATAAAATAAGAATTGTAATAGGGAAAAATAGCAAATTCTCAATCGAAAGAAACAAAATAAAATTAATTTTTATTAAATTAAAAACAAGCAAACGAGACAAATTCATTCTAACAGAAAAGAAAATTTCATTTTGAATAAAAAAACGAATTTTCTCTTGGAAAAGAATTTCAATATGAAATACTTTTATTGGTAAATTTCGAAATAATTCGTTTTAAATTCAAATTTTTATTTAGAAAAAAATAGTTAACCAAGTCTTTTCTAAGTTCCAATTTTTTTTCTTTCCCAATTAAATCTTTGACAAACTGTTTCACAGATACATTATTTTTCAATAAAAAATTATTTTTTCTCAAAATTTTCATTCGCCAAAATATAAATGTTAAATGTGTTCTTTTTAAAACTATATTTCTTCATTTCATTTAAAGAAATTCTATTCAGAATAAATCTTTGCTTTTTTCTGCGATTAAAAGCAAGTTTTCTTTTTTTGTATTAAATGTTTTGTTTTCATCTTTGTCTAGAACCGAAATTTAACAAATGGAAACAAAATGCCATCACTGTAGCTGGTGGAAATGGAGAAGGACATCAATTAAATCAACTCAATAGGCCTGAGGGAATTTTTATTGATAAAAAGAAAAACATTTTCATTGCTGATTATTATAATCAACGTATTGTTGAATGGAAACATAATGCAAAAGAAGGACAAACTATTGCAGGTGGAAGTGGCGAAGGAAATGGAATGGGTCAATCGCATTGGCCAACAGATGTGATTGTTGATCAACAAAATCATTCAATCATCATTGCTGATCAAGGAAACGGACGAGTGATTCAATGCATAAATCAAAATCAACAAATTCTCATTAACAATATTTCTTGTTGGGGCTTGGCAACGGATAAACATGGATTTCTTTATGTTTCTGATCGTGCGAAGAATGAAGTGAGACGATGGAAAATGGGTGAATACAACAACGAAGGAATTGTAGTTGCAGGTGGGAATGAAAAAGGAAATAAACTCAATCAACTTAATATTCCTACTTTTATATTTGTTGATGAAGATCAATCTGTTTATGTATCAGATCAAGACAATCATCGTGTGATGAAATGGAGAAAATATGCAAAAGAAGGAACAATTGTGGCTGGAGGAAATGGTTGTGGAGAAAATCTCAATCAATTTTCTTTACCTCAAGGAGTGATTGTTGATGATTTGGGTCAAATCTATGTTACAGATTTTGCGAATGATCGAGTCATGCGCTGGTGTGAAGGAAAAGAAGAAGGTGAAATTATTGTTGGTGGAAATGGTGGAGGTAATCAATCAAATCAATTGAGTCGTCCCTACGGTTTATCTTTTGATGACGAAGGAAACCTTTATGTTGCTGATTCGCGAAATCATCGAATTCAAAAATTTGAAATAATTTTTTGAATAAAATTTTGATTAAAAAAAAGACAAGAACTTTTTTGTTAAATAAAAAGTTGAGAATAAAAATGAAAAATAAAAAATCAAGTTTTATTATTCAAAATCAATGAAAAAATCAAAGAAATTTTGAAGAAAAAGAACTATTTCAATAAGAAATTAATAAAGAAAAATCTTTTTGTTTTTTGTTCTAGAAATTTGACAATTTCGATTAAGAAAAACCGAATAAATAATAAATTCTTTATCTTTTGTTAGTTTTGTTAAATTTTTACAGCAGAAAGGAAAAGAAAAGAAAAGAAAATATTTTGTGATTCAAATTGAATCAAAGAAAAATTATTCGAAAACAATTTTTTATTTTTTCGAGTTGATAAAATTTGATAATAAAGATTGAACTGAAACGAATTTAGTTGAACAAAACAAATACTGAAAAGATTATTCGTTAGTAAATTAAGAAATTTTATATTTTTTGATTCTGAAAAATGTTTTAATATAAATTCAGTTGAAAAATGATTTGTCAAAATGAAATGAATGATGTTATCTTTTGGATAAAAACAAAAAAAGAATTTGAAAAAGAAATTGAAATAAAATCAAAAAGCAGTAAAAGTTCTGAAATAACACAGAATTCGAATTAGATTTTTAATTCCAAAGATTTTTGATGAAACGAAAATTTATTCGTCTGATTTTGTTCAATAAAAATTCCTAAGAAGTTTATTCTATTATGAAAAGAAATTTCAACAAGTATTTGATTATTTCTCTATGAGATTTAAATTCATTTTTTCAAATAAACATTTTCTTCTTTTGAATTTAAAATAAAAAATCCAAGATTTCCTTTATTTTGATCTTTGAATAAAAAGATTTTCTTGAAATATTTTTTATTTTAATTTTAATTTTCTTCTTGTTTTTTTCATTGAAATCTGATGAGAATTAAAACAATTTGAAGGTGTTTATATTACTTCTTAATTCATATTGACAATTCAAAGTCGAATTTCTTAAGAAAAAAATCTCATTCGGATAATTGAAAAAATGATCGAATAAATAATTTTATGAAGAATCAAAAATATTTCTTATCAAATAAAAATTAGCTGAAGTCGATAAAGAATCGAATAAAAATGATGAAATCAGTTCTAAAATGTAGTTTTTTGAATATTATCAGATGAATTTGTGATGAATGCATTGAAATGTGGGAAAATGTATTTTGTTTGAAAGTATAAAAATATATTAGATGAATATTTTCTATGAATTTATTTGATTATTGTTAAATTGAAATGACATTATTCTCAATGATTATTTATTAATATAAAACTATTATGGAAATAATTTTTTTATTAAAAATCATCTATTCCTCAAGAAATTTAATGATAAGAATGATTCATGAATAGATAGAAGTATTGTTTCTTATTTTATACGATTGCACAAATTGATAATAATTTCATTTAAAAGATCTAAAAGACGAATTTGTATGGAATGATGATGATTGAATTTGTTAGAAAACTTTTATGTAATAACAAGGAGAATTTGAATAATATTAAAGAAAAGAGATAGAAATTATTTAAAAAAGACAAAAATTGAGTTAATTCTTTTAGATAGAATATGAGAACTAAGAGATCATTTCAATATTTACATTCTTATCTAAGAAATTTATCGAGAAGAGCATTGATTCCATCTGAATGATTATAATCAAAATAATCAATTTATTCATTGCTTGTATTAAATTATATTTGAGATGTGATAAAAGTCATTGATGAATTGTTGAATTTTTATCTGATTAAACAAAAGTTTCTTAAAAATAAAAAATTGAATTTTAATTAAAAAAAACTATTCATTCGATATGAAATAATATTTTCATCTATAGAATATTAATTAAACAATTGTTGGTTTTTCAAAATAAAAATAAATTCAATTAGATTTTAGGAAAATTTTCAAAATGTAAAAGATGAATTGAAAATCTTATTTAACATAGATATAGATATAGGATAATGGTTTGAATTTATTTGAAAAATATGTCACATCAATCAGAATCTTTATGAAAAAATTCATTTTAAATAATAAATCATCTTTTTCAAACATGTTTTATGGTGAGAAATTGTTTTCTTGTATAACATTTTTTGTTTTGATTACGAGAAAGATCATTAATTTCAATCATCGTCAATATTTCATATCATCATTTTTCTAGAGCTTTTTATACAGAATCTTTTAAGAGAAAAAATCAAAAGTTTATTATGTATTCATTCTGAGATATGTAAATACATTCTGCAATGTCCGAGTATATGCAATACTTTCGTTTTTATAATTGTATCTTATACTTATTTATTTCGATACAGTTTTTCTTTTTCGATTAAATCATTATATTTATGAATAGTTCTATTTTTGAAAGATTTTCTTTTGTTGAAAATATTGTTTTTAGTTGAAATTGTTCCCAACTTTCAAAAATCTTATTTTTCTTCATTTTATTTAGTTTGTATTTTTTTACGTTGTCTCATTATGAAAAACTAAAAACCCATTAGATCAAAAATAAAAACATGTTCTTTTTTGCTTCTCTTGTTCGCTTGCAATGGTTTGTCACCATTTCTTTTTTTAAATCAAATGGCTAGTTGGAAAGAAACACACGAAACATAAAATGTTATTCTTTTACAAAACAGTCAAAAGAATTTATTTACCGGAAAAGAAACTCAAATTGAGACATACGAATTAATCTATTATTTCAAAATAATTATACAAAACATCACAAGTTTAGAAATTCAATTGTTTGACATAGTTTCATTTAGGTAAGTTAGTTTTTTTGGAAATAATATGAAAACTGAGCATAGAGAATATCACAGGATAATTACCTTGAGAATGAAGATGATGATATAGCTAAAGAACAGACAGATATACAATAATACTCATCTTTTCGTACTGAGTCTCCTCACTGATGTTGACGTTTGCACTCAAGTCAAACTTTCGATGGACTTTGATTTGATTTGACAGATTGTATAGATTCAACAGTGAAATAGTTTCTGCTATATGTGCACTTACATCTATCGTATCGATGAGATAATAGTAGATTTGTTTTTCATCCGATTATATGTTTCGATACTATTTCAATGTGAAAGTGTGTCGTGGCAATGTTTTCTTTGGCTGAGCGTTGAATGAGAATTTGTTTTAAATATGAGAAATGTTTTTTTTTAAATAATATAAACAACTGAGATAGATTACAAATTTATATCAATAGATAGTAGTCATGTATCGATTCTGATATAAAGTTTGGGTGAAAATTTGCAATTTTGATAAGAATTCAATTCTTTTTATCTAATCGTTATAAAAAAAAACTCGTGTTAAATATTGCAAATGTATGACTGATAGACAACCATGATCGGAAAAGGTCGATCTTCTTTGTAAAAATTTATTTTGAAACATTAAATTACTATAAACTGAGATGGTTACAGATGCAGATGGTTAGGATGTGGATATTTTATGTCAGCCATACCCACACCCACCCTATTAATAGTCGTCCGTAATTATTTTAATTTTTATTTGTATTCTCGATTATTGTTAATTGTGAAGGTTCTTCAACATTTTATTGAAAGAAATGCATAGAAGATCTTTATTTTTCTGATCTTATCTAAAAATATAAATAAATTATGAAATCCAATTGATTTGAAAAACAAAAACAAATTTCTCATATTTCCATTGATTATTTCAGATAAATATAAAGAAGATAACAGTGGAATGAATGGTTATAGTAATATTGATTGCTCATTTAACTCTTGGTCATTGTTGTGGGGTCCGCGTGGCCCCACTTTACAGATTTCCGTCTCACACTACACAACTATTTACTGTTTCAAATCATTTATTTTTTTATAATCTCTGGGCATTGGTAGCTGTACAATATCCTGATAAAAGATCATGAATAAGTTTAAGAGAGAAACAATACAGATATGAGTCCACGCGAACTTCAGGACAACAATGATGGCCTATATATAATTTTCGCTTTTTTTATAACTGCCATCCGTTGCATATCAATTTATTTTCAAATTAAATAAGTTCTCATTCGTTTGCACGTTCACCTCTCATAATAGTGGTGCACATTTTCTTTGTAACTTGTTAAATTTTCGCTATTTTTTAATAAAAACTAGTATGAGTCAATTCTTTTTCTTCGCATCGTTCGTTCCTATATTCCCTCTAGAGAGAAGTATTTGGAAATTTATAATATATACACAGGTACCTTTCTTAATGCAAAACCATCGTTTTTGTAATTTTCATGGGATGGGTGCACGCGGACCGCAAGCCACTGTTGAAGTTATAAAACGAGGACGGTAACCGAGAGTTAAATATAAATATCGTGAGTAGAACTATATTATCCTAGTGATTCGAAAACTTAATTAACGTCTGGATTGTTACTTTGTTGTTAAGATCAGTTGTTTTTTTCGCATACGTTCAATTTAGTTGATCTACGTCTATAACTTATAGTGTCCTCTGTAAAACACCTAAGTATAGTGACCATTAAAAAATGAGAAATCATTGTAAGACGTCTCTTTGAACAATTTCTCTCTTAGTCTGAATTCGAGATTAGAGGCCTATAATTAACTGTACTACATTATGAAATACAATTGTAATTCATCATATCTTTAATATGTCAGAATTGATCTATACATGATGAATAAGTTATTATTCTTTTCAATTATTTTTTATTAATGATGAATACTAATTGATTCATTCGATTAGACCATACGTTAATGACATATCGATATATATATATTGCAGCTTTTAACTTTTTCTTCATCATACGAGGCCTCGTTCAACACTATTACAATTCAATTTCATATAAGTTATTCTTCTTTTATTACAGAGAATACTCTCGTAAAGAATTAGAAATGTCAATATGTCTGATAAGGTCATTTATACGCATACATATGTATGTGTATTACCTTAACAGTCGGCTTTGTCCATTACATTTTTATTATTTACAGAGTTGTTCTCTGTACACGCGCGCGAGTCACTACAAATCAGAATTAATTCAAAAACAAATGAGCAAAACATGTTTTTATTTATTTATTAAATATTCTTTATAATTTCTTTTTTACAATTTCAATATTCTCTTTCGTAATTTTTATATGAGGATGAGTTGGAGGTAATGTACGCTGGTTTATGTCCTGAGCACGTTCATAATATGAAAGTGCTTTCGAGTATTCTCCCATGTTCTTATACACCAAACCGATGTTGTTGTATGAAGTAGCCAATGAAGGATGATTTGAGGGAAGAGTTTTTTGATCAATCTCAAGTGCTTTTTCGTAATATGAAAGTGCTTTCGAGTACTCTCCCATCTTTTTATACACCGAACCGATGTTGCCGTATGAAATAGCCAACAAAGGATGATTTGAAGGAAGAGTTTTTTGATCAATCTCAAGTGCTTTTTCGTAATATGAAAGTGCTTTCGAGTACTCTCCCATGTTGTCATACACACTGCCGATGTTGTTGTATGAAGTAGCCAAATCGGGATGATTTGAAGGAAGAGTTTTTTGTTGAATTTCAAGTGCTTTTTCGTAACATGAAAGTGCTTTTGAGTACTCGCCCTTCCTGTCATACACACTACCGATGTTGTTGTATGAAGTAGCCAACGAAGGATGATTTGGAGGAAGAATTTTTTGTTTAATTTCAAGTGCTTTTTCATGATATGAAAGTGCTTTTGAGTACTCTCCCATGTTGTCATACACCAAACCGATGTTGTTGTATGAAGTAGCCAATGAAGGATGATTTGAAGGAAGAGTTTTTTGTTCAATTTCAAGTGCTTTTTCGTGATATGAAAGTGCTTTTGAGTACTCTCCCATGTTCTTATACACACTACCGATGTTGTTGTATGAAACAGCCAAATGAGGATGATTTGAAGGAAGAGTTTTTTGATCAATTTCAAGTGCTTTTTCGTAATATGAAAGTGCTTTCGAGTACTCTCCCATGTTCTTATACACCAAACCGATGTTATTGTATGAAGTAGCCAATGAAGGATGATTCGAAGGAAGAGTTTTTTCACAAATTTCAAGTCCTTGTTCGAAATAGCAAATAGCCGTTTCATAATCACCTTGATCCGAATGTACAGATCCCAGTTGATTATAATAATACGCTTTTTCACCCTCATCAGATGTTTGTTCGAGTAATACATTATAAAGCTCTTCAGCTTTATTAAATTGACCAATTTTAAGCAATAAGTTACCCAACCTCTCCCATCCACCAACACCAACACCACCAGCTTCTTTTCGCATCCGATCAGTAAGTACTCGTAATTGCTGATCATCATCCGATGTTAATTGTAATTCAACTTGATAAAGTTGATTGTTATTGTCCATTTGTTTAATTGCATTCACTCGAAAGACGGTGTGCATTGAGAAGAGAATTTCTTCTTCTTCCTTAAAATAACTCACCTCTTTGATGGAGGCAAATGGTGTTGTTTTCAAGCAAGGATCAATCGACATTATAAAAAGAATGCCAACCATATCCTGTTTTGATGCAGCACGTCCAGCAAATCCGAGCGACACTTCTTTATCTTTACTGGTGGACAAGAAATTGTTAAATGATATAAGTCCACCTTTTGCTTTCTGAAGTTTTTCAAAGTCTGTTTTCATAAGACCTTGTCCTCGATAAACTATAAAAGATTTTCGTCCATATTTACTGACTTGTTGTTCATGCAGCTGTTGAATTTGTTGATGTACATCACGTAGGAAGAAGCCCATATTAATGATTATGTCGGCATCCATAAGTCGAAGTGCTTGATTGAGCATTTTGTAAGTAAAACACTCACGTGTATACCACCATATCGCGTTTTTTGGATGATAGTTGTGTTCGAATTTATCAATAATTTGTAATTCAACTGAATTACCAGCAAAAGCTTCACGGCAACAAGCTGCTAACTCCTTGATTGCCTTGCGATCATATTTGATATCAAGGAGAATCTCCTTGAATAGCTGAGTATACATGAAAGTTGGTTCCAACTGATTTAAATTATCAGTTGAAGCCATTTCATTTATCGTAAGAAAACTTACGGCAATTGTGTCTTGGTCGCATTGTTTAACTGCCAGTTGTAATGCTTTACAAATATCTTTGATATTTGTATGAATACCTTTAATTTTTTTCCAATTTTGAGTCCATCCTTCATGTCTGGATTTGTTGCTACAAAAGATGTAAATAGCATCTAACTGTGGGATGCCATGAATTTCAGGAACCAAATGTTGACCTAATGAGCCTGATGTAATCACAAAGGCTTGTTCATTGTCAACATTGTTGAGTGTTTGGATGCACTGACTCGGTTCAGTGCATAAGTTGACATCATTCACCACGTTCTTCAAATGAGCCAGTGTATTCTGGCAGTCCTTGTCTGCTTGGTCGATGCTGGCATCTACCCAGATGAGAAGGTAGTTTGTAGCCCTACGTTGCCGTGGTTGACGAATATTTGAAGTTGCACCAGCGTTTTGATTTGATTTTGATCCGCTCATTCTGATCTTGTGGTAATTTGTTGTTGAATGTGAACTTGTCAGTAAACGTTGTTGTTTGAGTGAAACGAAAGATCACGGTTCTTCTTTATATAGGCTGTGACTTGTTTTTATCTCGATTTTTTCGCGATTTCGAATATTTGTATGTTTTTATTGTTGCTCAAGGACAAACTGCGTCTAGTTACGTTTGAAAAAAAATTGTACAGAGCAAAAAAACAGATATTATTGAAAGAACGAGCAAAACAGAAACTAACAATCGAATTCATTTTATTATTATTCTTTCCAACTTATTTTTACTTCTGTCTACGCCGTTATTACAGTTTACTGATGTGGAGGCGACATTTTTCTCATCGACTATAGGTAGAAAGAGAAATACAATTCTTCCACCGAATTCATTCTTCTTTTACATTCTTTGTCAACCATCATATTAGTGTTTGACGACAAAAGCTCTGTGAAATTTTGTACATAGAGCATGCTTTAAATGTTATGTCAATGAATGCAAAAAAACTGTGAGCTTAATATTGATGAAAGTAAGATCGAAGAAACTTTTTTGTTCTCTGTTAAAACAAGCAAAGTGTTTCGTTCACGATCATTGAAGAATTGTATTGAAAATAGTTTTTAAAAATCACAAAAACATTAGGAAATTTCTTCATGATTTGAGTATAAAATACTGCTGTTGAACAAAAAAGGAATTATTTTGCATTCATACGGATGCAAATGGCTATTTCAATTGTTGATAGTTATTGAAAAATGAACGTTTTAAAAAAGAGAAGCTCAAAAACTATATGCTTCGCATGAGAAAAGAGGTTTATTGAGTGCTTTATCAAATAATATATTATTTGTAGTTAGACAAAGCTTCTCTGTGAGGTATTCAGATGAAAATTTGTTTTTGCTTTAAAATAAATAATTTGTGAAATGATTTTTTTATCACGTTATGCGCTGTTTCTTTTTTTTTGTATATCAGAACAATTATTTCAATACAACATGGATGACTCTATTGTAACAAATAGTGTATATATAAGGTAGAAATCATCAAAAATTTCAGGAAAACTATTTTAAAAACAGATTTTAGTTGATAAAAAGGAAGAAGTTAACTAAATATAGCAATAATCTTGCAACAGTATACATGCATGCATCACTACACTTATGTTCATTACAAGTTATACTGCATGAAAATCTATGAAGAAAAACGCTGTTAATAGTGTTTTGAGATATATTATGTGAAGTGTACAATGTATTCCATATAAGACGAGCAATTTCTTTTCGTTTAAATCTAAAAATAAAGTGTCATCATTAAGAATAGTCATGTGGCTTCTTTTGATTTCAAATCGTTCCGCGAAAAAAGCTGTATCGATAATCTATAGTTAGTCATATAAAATGCAAATAGAAGGACAAAGAAAGACTGATAAAAAAAAGTACATTGACAATGAAACAAACAAACATTAATGCAGTTTTATTATTCTTACCAGTCTATTTTCATCGTTGTATGTATGGTTACTTATCAGAACGAAGAGAGAGAGTGTGTAAAGAAACGAATTTGAAAAGAAAAGCGAAACTGCGGCATATTATTCATTCTGTCTCACCATCTGTCACTATAGTTTCATTAAATAGACGATTTAAATGTATGAAAAGCATGGTGAAGAATAATTTGATGGCTTACAAAGATTATATTACGAATAGTTTTCATTCTCTAAAAACTTGTGTTCATGTAAATCATTCATTCTAATAAAAATTATTGTTTCATATATTTAGAAAAAAGATGTCTATTTGTTCAATGCATTTGAAACGAATCTCATTAACAATACATTGTATCACTATATTGAAAGAAAAACACTTGTAAATTCTTACAAAATATGTTCGAATTTGAAGAAAAATCAGTTGATTGTTAGTGTTCTTAGCATTTGAATTATCGATCAATATTTATTTCTGAAAAAAATAGCTTTTTATTATCGAATAACTAATATAATATAATACTAGTTCGGAATTGTTCTCTATTTTCTGCAGTCTCTATTACATTAGATTGTATACAAAATCAGATTCTTAGTCTTTTATTGTTATTACTGGATTATCATAAGCACCATCGACTGTTCTTGTTATTACAACATCCGACGAATCCATAGGTATTGCATTTGTAGCAAGAGTTTGTGCACTTGCAGTAGTATGAAGTGTACCATAACCTTCTGGTGCTGCTAATTCAATCTCATTATCAACCTTTAATAAACAAAAAATAATAATAATAACTTAATTTCTATTCACAAACTTTTTTATCTGACTCAACAACTTCGTTTACACCTCATCGAAGCCAATCAGGTATACGTTCAGGTAAACAACAGCAAAATACATCACTAATAGGTATTAAAGATAAATAACATCGTTTTTTCGGTTGCTTAAATTCGTTTATTTCATTAAAATTTTTCTTACTTTTCAAGTAAAATTGAAAACTGAAAGACATTAAAGTAGATCGCCAAAATAAAACATTGTCTTTATAACACAATAAATGATATTATGAGATTCCTATAAATCCATCAATAGATTTTTCTCTTCTTACAACTATGAATATTTTTATAATGAGAATATTGTCGGTTTACTAAACAATGAGAGATTAAATAAATGTGGAAACTTCGGATTGTATCCGAGAGTTATGTGTACTG